TGCTGTCTATCAAGCTCTGACTTTAAAAAAGCCCCCTGTCAAGTAAAAGTGCCAAAAAAAAAAAAGAAAAAAAAGCCATAGCTAAAATGAGTGGAGTAGTTCCAAAACCTTATTTGAAACTTCTATTCTGCCTTTCTAGGGGAGACAGACGCTTTGAAAAACCAGGGCGAAAAGATCCAGGTATGGTTTTGTTAACTGTATGGGCAGAAGATGGGAGGGAGGAGCAGGGTGTGTTTTGGGGAAGGGATCTACATGTACACAAACCTTTCCTATTGCTCCAAGTATATTGTTGATACAAGATTCATGATACTGTGCCAGGCTACCTAAATGTGTTCTCAAAGTGTTGGTTTTTGTATTTTGTGTTGTTTTCACTGTTAGACATTTAAATGCTTTAGATAAGAAAAATCTACAGTAAGTAGGTTCTATTTATTAAACTGTGATGTCTACAAATTCCTGTATCTCTGTGAAAGGAGCCTTTACTGATTAACAGGTGTGCAGTGGCAATATGCCTTTTCAGTGCAGCTTTTAAACATTCTTGGTGTGTGCTATTTTGGTACCTAGGGCTCCTGGACCTTATGACCTATTGTTTTGAATGTGATGTAGATCCCAGCAGCAATGTTCTGAGGCTCCCATACTGATGGCTTTACTGTCTGTCAAATTATTTTTTCATCATACAGATCTTCTGTTCATTCAGGTTATCATCTGGTCCCCCTCTCTGCCATTCCTCTCCTCTTTCTTAAATGCTTCACGCTGGCCACGTTCATGCAGAATACTGGATCCTTAATTGTGACCCAGTATGTCTGTTTGAATGTTCAGCTGCACTTGAACTGAAATACACGTTTAGGTAAAATCTGTATTCTGACAGTGGTGAGAATGTTCAAGCAAGTCTCTCAAGCAGTTGTCAACTGGTTATATGGTAACAGCAGTGATTTTCTGCTTCATGGGATCATGCGTTGGTTGTTCTCTGGTATGACCTTGCTCTTTTTTTGTGGAATGTTTCCACATGCATGTACCACAGCTCTGCTTAGTGAGAGATTTTGTACTAGTAAAAGCTTGCTGAAAATTAGTCTTGTCTTTTGAGGATCCAGAGGATCTTTTGGTCTTTGCTGAAGGAGTCTTGGCTAAATATCGTCCTTAGTGACCATACTGATAAAACATAGATCAGAAGACAATTGCAAGTTGACTTTCAAGACAAACAAAACCAGAGAGATTCAGTTGCAATTAAAAGTTGACAGGAATGTATTTTATTCCCTGATTAGCTGTCCATATTTTTTTTGAGTAACATAAGTTTTCATTTTAATAGTTTTCCAGATTACCATGGTTGCACATGCCTTAGGAGTCTTAAATCACCATGTTTGCTTTCAAAGTCCTCCCAATCCTCTCTCAATTTAAAGAATGCTTTTATTTTTCTGCTCTTTCAATTGAAAGTTAAGACTAAGGTGTTGCTTGTTTTCCTTAAAAAGAGGTTACTTGTAAAAATAACTAAATTGCTCTGAGACTGTTCATCTTTAAATGCCAATAGTGAAACTTCAGACTTTCAGTGTATCTTAATATTCAGGGACCTTTTTGAAAAAAAATAAAATTGGGAAAAATAGTACTACAGAGATTTCAGGACTGCTTTTTTTACAAGAGACACATGGACATAAAGGTAGTGTCTACCACAGTTGATTCCATTTTATTTATTTAGCTCCTTCCTGTTCTTGTGATAAAATTACAACACTTCCAGGTTCAGACTATAGAATGTACCACATTTCTGATCAAGACTGTGACAAAAATACTGCATGTCAGTATAGGATAAGATGTATCCCTCAGGTGAAATTGACAAGAATTTACTGTATGCAAGATGTCATTGCTGAAGCTGAATTCTGCCTGAAGGTGGAGGTTAGTGCTTCAGCTAGTATAGAGCATATCTTGTTTGTGGCAACTACTAGTGATCAGGACTTTGGAATGCATCTTCTGTGAACCATTTTCTAGAGCAGATGGTGTTCCCCTGTGCTTTGTTGAAAGTCCTGGTTCATGGTGATGGATTGTGTGCTTATTCTCAAATCATGAAGCTTTCTGTAGTATCTGATTGCTCCTCTTAAGTCTCTTTTTCTATTTCTCTTCTAGTTTGATGTTAGGTGGCTAAAAGCTCTGTAGCACAGTATGATAGAGGCAAGAGACTTGCAATCTTTCTGAAGCTTTAATATTAAAAAATTATTTTTAAATAGTAACTTATGTTTGCGTATCGCTATGTTAGAGATTAATGTCCCAGTGAGTGGGAGGACCATTTCTCTCCTCTATCTTTGAAGACAAGATGGAGACCACAAAGATGTTAACAGAAGGTGGTGTTCATGTTTTGACTCAAGCCTTGATTAATGAACAAATAGTTATTGTTATGTAAAGGCTTTCCAATGAAAAAATATTTGGAGTATGATAGGGATACAGATGTGCCAAAAGAAGTCCCATGTTAATACAAGCACTAGTGTACCACCCAAAGCAGTGGAAGCAGAAAGATCAAGGAATTAATTGACATGCAGTTTATCATTCAGGCTAATGTGCTTTATCAGATGCATGTATTGGTTTCTGTTACCCCGGTTAAACCCCTTAGTTGAGAATTTTATTCCCTAACGTTATTGTGCTTAGTTTTTCATTGCTCTTTCATAGGGCCTTGGATTAGCCTCAAATTACATAATTTACTGAGTTGCCAGGTTTTTCATGCTCTTTGTTCTGGGTGATCATGTTACAGAATTAATAAGAGATCCAATATTAAACTCTTCTCAGCATTCATAATGGATGACAGTGCAAGAACCATTCAATTAAAAATCATGAGATTGAAGTGTAATAGACCTTCAACAAAGAATTACTTCTCAAATAGGATCAATACACTGTTCTTAAAAATTAATGATTGCTTTTTTGGTGCTCACAACAGTTTGCAAGTCATATTTGACTGATTCTCAACATAAACAATATCTGTTCCTAGTTTCAGTATGCAAATTGAAGATGCACAGAGTATTTGTGAGTTTCTGTTGCAGATTGTCACGTTCTGACAGACTTCATTGAGAACCCAGATCGCTTCTGGAAGGGTGAAGCCATTAGAAAAGAAAATGAGCCTGTTGTTTTCTTGATCGTGGTTGTCTTTTAGGACTGCACAAAAGCTGCTTAATTTTCTGTGCAGCTTCTTGACTAATACCAGCTTAGTAGCTGAAGGGATTTGATTAGTTACCAGCAATTGCACACTGGTAGTAAATAATTATTATATAGATTAAACAAGGCATTTAGTAAGTCAGTTGTGGAACCTGAGTCCTATTTAATGTGTATTTTCTGGTTAGGTTAAGAAGACTGAAATATAAAAAGGGTGTTCAAGTGACTGTAAGAAGGATGTTGAATTTGAATTGCACTTTCCCTTACTCTGCCTGGCTTGTTTTTCTTCCCTACCTTGATAGCAAGAGGTGCATCCAAAGCAGGTTCATCACCAGCTTGCTTACAACGTTAGTCAAAGCAGAGAGTGCGGTTTTGTTGCATCAGAGCCCATCAGCAATTTTTCTAGGCTTGTATTCCAATTTGGGCCATGGCATATTTCCAGTACTTTAGCAGACATCCATGGGTCACCAGTTCTTTGGAACTGTAAGAGCAATAGGGGTGTTTTGTCTGCCCCTTGTTCTGCAGCTGTTCTGAAGTAACTACACACTTGTTTGTCTAATTTGCTTCTGTAGTATTCTTCAGCTTTACATTCCAAAAGGTAATATTTGATTATTGCATTTAGTGGATGCTAAACATACTTTTTCTTGCTGTTGTACCCCCTTTTAACCAAATCTATAAATAGAAAATTATTTTTAAAAAGGGACAACTTCTAAAGTATCAAATAATTTAGAAACCAAACAAAGCAGCTCAGGCTTTGATTGAATGTTAATTGAAATTAGAAATAGCTTTGGCTCTAAATGGTGAGATTATAGTACCTCCTTTTGGGTTTATGCATCTGAATTTTAGAGCAATTGGTTTGTCAGACTGGAGTATGTGATATGGGAAAGCCATGTCTCACACAATACAGGTTTTTTTTCCTGAATGGTTATTTCAGACTTGACACAGGAATCTGTTCTACTGCTCTTGCACTGGTTCTTAATTTGTAGGACTCTTCTCAACTCTTATAATGGTAGATAATGTGGAAATAACACTTGCAAGAAATACTTAAAAATTATCGGTACTGATATGAGGGTGGAAAAGGGATCTTTAGGCTACACATGGGTCACTAGCTAAGAAAAGTAGCGATGAAAGCAATGTAACTTGATAGTGTGGTGCTCTCCAAGCTCCACAATATTCATGAATACTTTTACATAAAATTAGATTTAAAAAAACCCCAGATTTTGAGAGTGTCTGTGATAAAACCAAATCTGTCTGAGGTTTGGAATGTGGGGAGGCAATACTTGAACAATTTTGGAACAAGAGTGAATTGCATTGAAAATGTGGGCTTTCTGCCTCACCTCGTTCCCCTTGAAATATGAAAAGCTCCAGTGGGGCTGCTTCCCATTTTCCCAGACCCTAAAACAAACCAGCTTTTTGCTGACCTCTTTCTGGTTGTGAACATGCTTCAGTTAAGCATTTTGGGGCTCAAGAAGTGTTTAGTTAAACAGTATCTCATCAGATAGCTTGAGACCTTTTTTCCTGCTGCTGATGGCTTCAGTGAAGTTAAAAGGAAGCATTTTTGATAGTGTGTTACGCTGTTGTCAATGAACGTTGCTATTTGTGCCACCTTGGTTTCTGGGAAAAGTCTTTTACCTTTGAAAGGTAAATTTTGATACTTGGCTGTTCAAGTATGAACACATGATAGGCACTGCTTTTGTTGAGAGCTTGGAAATAATTATCCATCTTTCTGTTTATCCTTTAGCTTCTTAAATTATTTAGGAGCTTCAGAACAGTGTCTTAATTGCAATAGGTTTATGAGGCACTTAAATACAGAAGTCTCAGGTATAGTTTGTTTTAATTTTTTATTTTAAAATTGATTCAAGTGTCTCTAAATATTTTTTGTGCTGTGTGTACAGGCAAATATTGATGTTAAAAAGCATAAAATATAAATGGATTCAGTTCTACTCATGTCAGATCTACTTGAGACAAGCAGCGCAAAGGTGAGAACATGTGGAATGTATGGTTCTTTTTTTAAAAAGTACATTAATTCATTTATAACAGTCTGTTTTCCATTGCTAAATAATTTATTCAGTGTTTCCAAATATGAAAAAAATTTCCACTGTGACATTTGTCATAGACATCAAGATTTTTTTGATAGTGTCTTCATAGACATGTCTTGAAATGAGATGTTCTCTTATTTGGCAGAATGAAGAACTACAGTTAGTATTTACAATTTTGCTCATTAAGCACAGCAGGAGTGCTTTTCACTGCCATGAGAGCTTGGCAGTACTTTCTAAGACTGAATTCAGCCATCTGAAAACTGATACAACTCTGTATTCCCAAAGAGTTAAAAGAACAGAAAAATTAAGATCTTGAATAAACAGTGTTGCTTATCTCAGAACTAATATTGTTACTTATTACCCCATATTGGTTTTGACCGAGCTTTTTCTTTGTATTGTTGTCCATTTTGGCACAAGCTGGTCAATTATGATTTTTGGTTAGCTTTGGGAGTTTTGAAGGTCTTTTCATTCAGAGTCAGTGCGGCTTTAATCATAGTCTGGTGAATTCAGCAGGTAGCTCTTTTTTAATATCCAAGAATTAGTACTGTGATTCTTGTACCTGACTTGTCCTGGGTGGTTAATCCAGCCTTTCCTCAGTTTACATGGGCACAGAAGATTTTACTCTGTGTATCATGTTGTAATCAAAAGGATGAGTGTACAAGAGAAAGATCACTAGAGGATGGCAGGGCAGGCAAGGAAGGAAGATTTTAACTGAAACCTGAAAATTTAATGTAATAATAATTATAAAAGCACAAAGTTCAAAGTCTGTTCTCTCTATTCTGTGAGGCCAGTCTCAGAGAGCTGGAAGCTGTCGGCGTGCTGTCCATTGATGCGGATCTCCTTGTCAGTCCTTTTTGGACTCTTTGAGTCAGCTGCAGCTGGGAGCTCAGGAATAGTCTTGTCAAAATTCTCCATCTTGATCTGATATTCACCTTTGGCATTGCGTGCTAGCAGGGAGGCGAAGTGATGGTGCAGCATGATCTCTGAGGAGAGGTAGGATGTTCTCCTTTGACACGTTTCTCCTGTGCCCTCCTGCACAGCTGACAGAAAGACAACCAGCTCAAAATGGTGAGCAGCTTCTTTCTGGAGGAGAGCAGCCAGAGGGCTGGATGAAGTGATTAAATGGTAGTAGGTCAGTGGAAAGATGAAAAAAGGACACTCATTCAAAGTAACGCTGTCTAGGTGGAAGTCCACGCTCGTTTGGTGCAGCTGCCCATTCTCTTGTTCTTGGTAAAGTATAGCAGAAATCTGGACACTAGTCAGTGGGCTGGAGCGTGTGTTGGCCACCTGGAACATGAGGTATGGCTTCCCCTCGGTGTGTGTCACTACGGCAGAGCGGGTGAAACGGATGGAGAACGCCCGATTCTTTGGCCGAGCAATCTTTGCCACAAAAGCACCTGCATCACAGAAAAGAGCAAAGGGAATACGAGCACCCTGCCTGGGTTGGTTCCCTGCAGCCTCTGAGCTCTCTGAAACAGTCTGAAGGGACAGAAGCAGGCTTGGGTGGACATGGCCTTTCTAGCCTCAGCCTGCATGTTTGAAACTGCTAGGCTGGCATCACACTAACCCATTTTTGTTTAAAAAGTATAGCTTTCCTAAAATGCTTCTTTTTCTAAACTGTGTTCGACTTAATGGTTGGGGAGTGAACTGTAGCTGTAGGAGAGAGAGCTGTCAGCTTGCCCTAGTTTACTGTAACTGATAATAGTACCTGGTCTGAGTGTGCTACCCCTAGAGCAGCTCTTTCTTAATACACAGTAAACTAACCTGTGTTTTCTTAAAGTCTTTTGATATACTTTAAACCAGATAATTATTTTAAATAACTTAAAATACCTGGAAATAGCTGTGATGTTGTAAAAAATTTTCAGTACACTGGATACTGAGGAATACTTAAGCACTGAGTCAACAGAAATACTTTGTCTAGACGAAAGTAAACCTTAAAATAATTTTTTTATATATTTATAACTTTAAATATTGCAGTTCCATGGAAGAATCATGGAGAGATAATGGTATAAGAAATAAGTGATTGAGACTGATAAGTGGGGATCTGCCACAAGTATTGTCCAAGGAATAGTGGAACTCTCAAGTCCAAATCTTGATACCACCTGATTTCTTTTTTGTTAATGAAAGGTGTTGAACTTGTTTAATAATACATCGCTGAAATCTCATAATCCTTATAGTGACTGACTTAAATGTTCTTTTGGATACCGATATGATCACTATTTATTTCTATCTCCATTTCTTAAATCTAATTATTACACCTATTCTATTTAAAGATTAAATATGAAGGATTACCTGTGATGAAGGCTTCCAGCATGAGCCCCAGGACCATTTGTATTGCAAGCAGTGCAATAGCACTGGGACAGTCCCCGCTTGGGAACATAGTGCCATAACCAATTGTGAGTTGTGTCTCCAGTGAGAAGGAGAAAGCAGCTGTAAAACTGGTGATGTACTTGACACATATAGTGTGGTTGTCAGGTGGAGTATCGTGGTCCAGCTCCAGGTCCCCATTCATCTCAGCCAGCAAATACCAAAGCACAGCAAAGACTAGCCAGTGAATGACAAAAGAAGCAGAAAAGACAAGCATCATCCATCTCCAGCGCATGTCCATTAATATTCCCCATGCGTCTCGGAGGTATGCCAGACCTTTTCCTTGGGCGCCATCCATCTGGAGTGTGCTGTGTCCATCCTTGGTCACCATCCGCAGGTATCTTTGGGTGAGGAGGGGAGCACTGGATTTGGTGTTATTGCACTCTATCATATCTGTTGTCATCTTCTAGAAAAGACAGAACAGTGCAGCGTATTTGTATTTTGCCTAACGTTCACAGTTTTTGACACATCAGCAGGGGTTGAAATACTGCAGCCAACAAAGGAGGGCTTATATATTGCAATCCAGAGAAGATTAAGTCAGGAGCCTGGAGAGGAATTTACCACTGTTTGTGGTAATACTTTGCTAAAAAAGATTAAGTTTAAAAATTGGACTACTTCTCAAATTTTCCCTGCTTAGTTGTTTAAATATAAATTTCATACTTTACCTTCCTAAATTTACATCTGAGTTGCATGCTTTAATTCTCTTAGGGGTGAGTGGGATGGGATTATACATACTGTATCTGAAAAGAAACTGAATTTTTGTCTGATTATATCAGGCTTTAACTTCTCTTCAGCAGAGTACAGTAGTTCACCGATTCTATTATGAATGCTCTTAACAGTAGTACTATGGAAATAATGGCTATTGTATTATTTCTCTAACATATTTCTGCATTTTAGGGGAATGCTGTAGTTGACCTAGTAGCCCTTTCAGACTTTTGTAGCTCAGGGAATGTCTGTCTGCACCCACCATGTCCAGTTAGGCAGAATTACAGCATTCAGGGAATCTGAGGCTGTTTATATAGGGATTTGGTAAAAAGAGAGCAGGAGACCAATACTGAAAATATGCTGTGACATAATTTGAAATCTAGTCTGTCTTAAGCAGTGTATTTTTTCTTAGTGACCAAATAAGAAAATAGGATAGCAAGTGTATGGGAATTAGGGGGTGAAGATGGAATTGCAAATGTGGGAAGCAAAATGGATATTTGTAGGTATTTGACATGTTAGGTTCCTTTGTTTACTTTTAAACCTCAAAACTTGCCAAACTTGCAAGAGATGCTGAGTGTCTTTTGTAAAGACACTGGCCACTCAAATCCATAAATTTGTAAATAGTGAATATTTAAAGTTCACCTGGGACAGATTAAAATTGAATATGGGTTCATGTAAAATAGAGACTTAATAATATGTACAACCTACTTAAGGAAGGATGTGAGGAAGCTTGTTTGTAGAACAACAGAGGATTTAAAAAATATATATGTAAATTCTGCAAATCATACTTATACATGGTGTATTTACTCAATTTTGTTCATTTTCTATTAGTTTTGACCTTTCTCTGTATTATGACTGTTTTAGTGTGTCATACCATGTATAAACAGGCTAGAGAAATTTTCCCCCCAGGAGTGCTGCCATAGATTTATCTTGAAACACATTAGGTATAAGGATCCTGAACTTTAGAATGAATTTATGAAAGGTAAAAGTCTTTCTTGCAACCTTTGATCCTGTAAGCGAGCAGTTTCTTGACCATTTACTCAATCTTGATACCAGATTTTAGTAATTGCAGAACATACTTTTTTGCTTTTACTTGTGCTTAATGAGTACTGAAGTATGAGAATTGGCATCAGAATGGATATTTAGCTCAATTTTCATTTTTCTTTTCTTCTGTTAGTTCTCAAAACCATCCAGCTATTTCTTTTATCCATGTAGCATGTCAAAGGAGGTCAAGTAGACGATGGCCTGAGTCGAATTTGGTGGTTTTCCCCTCATTTATTTTTCCAAATCATGTCTCCTAGAAGGAATATTTTGAATGGGTGTACCGAGACTCTCCTGGTCAGTAGTACCAGTCTGCTTTTCTTGGGGGATTCTGATCATAGTCCGTTCACTTTATAGCATGATCTCCCACCTTCATGTGAGTTAGATCTTTGGTCTACAATATAGCTCTCCAAATGACAGTTTTCAGTCTTGCTGCACTGTTATGGAATTTACAATAACCTGAATACAATTTTAAATGATTCAGGAACTGGATGACTAGTGACTTTTCTGTAGAGCAGAGTCCTTATGCTAAGATTTAGAAGAGCCCTTCTGGATGCCTTGAAGAAGCTGGAAAATAGACATCTTTGAAAGGGAAGGATGATGGAGACCACACTCAAAACGAGCTGTGGACAATGCCTTGGTTCTATCATCTTAGAATAAGCAGTACTCACAAGAAGTACTCCCTTGTTTGAATAGAGGAGAACACTTACAGAATAAAATGCCTCTGGATGTAAACATCATGCATTCTTGAAAAAAAACAACAAAACCAAAACCCCCAAATTAGTGTATTTGTCTAAATTCTCATGATACTTTGAGGGCAGCATCTGCTTCATAGCCTCTAAGTAATTTGGATCTGCAAAACAAATGTATGCTGTGAGAATGAATTTGATATTGACTGACTGGTGACAGAAACCTCTTCTACAGTGTTACATATGTTAAGAGAAAAAGGAAAAACATACTTTAATGTGGTACATTTTTCTTGGCTACACTTCACATCTTCCACACATCAGTGCTAATATCAGCATTGCAAGGTTCAGTTTTATTAAGATGCTTTCTAGGGTGGTGATTAATCACTTAATGTTGACTTAAAGTTCTGAAAAATTTTAGTCAGTGTTCACTGTCAGGTTGTTTGGGATCTTTTCTGTGGGGGAGGATCCATTACTGACAGGTTTCAAAGGTACTTGAGAAAGAGAACCTCCATTAGTGCCCAGCAGCACATTTCACAACAGTCCTGTGTCTCTGCTCCTCGAGACTCCCAGCAGGGGAGTTTGCCTGCTGAGGTTAACCAGGTTACTGCTCTGGTCTCATTTGATGTAGGCCTCTGATTTTTCTTGACTGTTTAAAATATTAGGTAACTAATTTGATAGCAGTGATAGCATTGGAGGTGTGTAAGCTTGAGTTCAAAAACTGGTCTTTTGTAGAAGCTATTGATGGCTTTGAGCCACAAGTCTCAGTTTCCTGGAGTGGGAAAAATGTGTAAGAAACTGCAAATAGGCTCTGAGAGCAGTGTGTTGATTCAGAATAAGAGGTGAAAGAACAACTGCCCTGTAAGAAATAGTCTACTTGGGATGGAGGATCTGTAATCTCAGAAGCAGTCAATTTAAGAGTAAATGTAGCTTTGAACTTAGAACTATTGTCTTCTGTCTACTCCTTTCCTTGAACACTGTAGTAAAAAATACAAATACCTTTTTTACTTGTTAGTGATAAATTAATGAAATTGTACAGTACAATTCGGAACCATTTGATCCCATCCCCTGCCTAGCATGGTCCTTGATGCCCCCACATTAATCTCTGTTTCAAACAGTGTATGTTTCAGGAAAGTCATTCAGCTTTGATCTGAGAAGAAAAATTCTGCATTTGTTGAAGAAAACTCATCTCCACTGCTAAATACATACTGTATTTCTAATCCAGATCTGTCTAACTTCATCTCTTAACTTTTATGTTATGCTGTTTGTCTGGTTTTGCTTCTCCTTGTTCCTGACTTGTGAAATTGTTGTAGCTTTTGGGTCGTCTTCTTCCATCTGCCAGCTGATATGATAGTCCTTGACTGGAAAGACAGGAACTGTCAGATACGGCTTTTCTAACCTTTCTTGGCACGTTGACCAGTCTTTTGTCATGCGTTCAGTGTGTTTAATCCTTCCTGCTTCCAGTCTGTTGAAATTTAAATGGTTACCACCAACTCCAGTGTATATGTCAGTTCTTAGCTTTTTTTTAAAATCTCTTCATCATTGTCCCTCATTGTGGCTTCTTTCTTCTATATAGTGTTGTAAGAGAAATCAAGGTACTGTGTTTTTAAACTGAAGTCAGTTTCCCTTTTCCTAGCAGTCGGACAGGTTCTAAACTGACCTGGCTTGCTGATGATTTATGTGTAATAAAACCTTGCCTTGCAGCTCTAGGATATTGCCTGCATTTCTGAAATTCATGATCTAGCACACTGATCTCTCACACTTTACCTTTTTCATTGAGATCATCTTGTGTTGTCAAAGTTATGTTGCATTGCAGCTTCATGCCACTGTCTCGCTTTCCTCTTCTTTCCTCTTGCTTAGCCTTTCTCTTGACAGCAGAATCTCAGCTGTTAAGATTCTGGGGGGATTGCAGGGGGACTCATGCAGCAGCGTTTTAATTTTCTTTTTGTTTGCCTTCTCAGTTGAAGGCATTTAAAGTGACACTTCTAGCCAGTTTTCAGCTCCGTACACTAATACACCTGCAGCCTTTTTAGGAGCTTGAATGCCTTTACGTGGAGCTGTGTTCAGGGGAGACTGCTGCATTGCTGCCCAGCTTCTATTCTTAACAAAACCTCTTGTAATTGACCTTGGGAGGGATTTGAGGCAGTTCATAATGCATGGCTTCATGAAAGCATAGCAGTCAAGAAGACCTGCTGTTTGCTGGGTGTAACTGCAAAAACTGCTTACAACTGTAGCATAATTTGAAGATTTATTAGAGCCCAGGTGATGCTGGCATGCCCCTCTGGGAAACGTGTACATACCCTCTTTACTTGACCTGGGTCCACATAATCTTGTACTATTTTCGGATTTAAACATCTCTATACTCTTTAAGCTGTGATCATTCTGAGATGTTGCTGCCTCTGGACTTTGCAACAAGAACAAACTAAGTTTATAATTCTTTTAAAAGCACTTTCACACTATTAAAATCTCATTATTGTTTTGTGGTTTTTTTTAGATTGAATCACGATCTTTGAGATGCTCTGACATTGAATGTTAGGAAATGAAGGCTCTTTCAGTATTGATGACATGACTGGATCATGTAACTTAAGTTAGGGGACAATCTTAGAAATGTAGGAGTAATTTAGTTAGAGTAATTGCTTTGGTTGAAAGCTTATGCTACAGTTGTTAGTAAATAGTTAAAGTTGCAAACATGTTTGTCCTTTAGGTTTTGTAGCTAATGCTCCATTGAGATGAAGGGGAGTATTTTGTAACAAAACTGATTTTGTGGAGCAGTCTGCAGAATTAAGGTAACAGTTTCTAGGACTTGTTACATGGTAAATCAGTCTTGTAAAAAGGAGAACTTTGATTTGTTGAGCCTAAGTCATGTATTTCAGAGCCAGTGCCACAAAACATAGGATGTGAGAGCTCGTACTTTAACCTTTCATGACAGTTTATTATAGAATGCACTTTATGGGAGAGCATGTCTTTTTTTAATAATACAGAAAGGAAGTCTGCTTATGTATTTGATTTTTGGGGACGTCTGTAATGCTCCGTTTCATGTATAATGTATTTTCATACGGTACAACATGTTGAAATACTGTGAGGATCCATATGAACCCTAACTCTTGATAATGAAGTAGCGTCTGAGTAGACTAGCTAGTCTGGCCACCTTTAGAAAAAGCAGAAAAACTTTACGAAGACTTTGGTTAAATGTTGTTTAAGGCTTTAAAATATGATAGTATATATTAAATCCCTTTAGAGAAACTTAAATGCAAAATCAAATCTTGTTAATGAAGGAGTAAATTTATGGTTAAGAGGGAGGATTTTTATTTAATGTAAGGCTGTAGTAATAGAAGTCTGCTGCCATCCATTCTTTGATGGAACTTGCTGGTTTTGAAGATCAGTCCTGACCTATGTGATACAGACTTCCTAAAAGCTTGTCTAGAATGACTGAGTTTTCTAGGACCTCGGAGCTCCTATTCAATGCCCGTGCATGGTTTCGTGGGCAGCAGTACTAGCTCACAGTGTGTCCATAAGCACAGAGAATGCATTGATTGAAAATGAAGGCAGGAGATCTAATCAGAGATGGTAAAAGCAGGGTTGAAGTGAAGCTCATATCATTAATTTGTGATGGGACAAGTTAAATGCTGAGTTATGATGGATGCGGCAAGATGGTGAGGATGATTTTTTCATAATGCTTGGTCAGGTAACACCTGGCTACCTTTGCTGGAGGTTTGCAAATGCTCCCTGTTTGCAGAGCGTTGAAAAGTCTGTCTAGCGCTGTTTATCTTGAAAAATTTCTGGAGAAAATATTGCATGAAGACTTTGGGTTTGCTCTGTATGCTGTTAGGATTATAGTAATCTGAGAGAGCACTTTCTTCTTTTTCAGGGGGGAAAATCAGAAACCATTTTGTTTAAGGTGATACTTGATTTAGCAAGCTTTATGAATAAAATTGTGCTCTGAAAAAACCTTTGAAGAATTCTAATTGTACAGCAAGAAAAAAAAATTGCTTTGTGTACTTACCGGTTTTTGAAGGGTTTGTGTGCAGAAGAGGAACACCTGGGCTCCAGGAGAGGGACTGGGCTGGTCTTGTGTATTGGTCTCAACACTGGCAAGAAACGTCCCACAAGTGGTTGGTAGGGATCCTTTTTTTTTTTTTTTTTTAAAAAAAAAAAGTTCTAAAAAATGGGTTTGTATGTCTCATTCCTGTGTTTATAAT